GGTGTTTCAATTCCAATCACCTTCTCTCTTCTTTTAATTTTTTTAACAAATTAAATTGAAAACCTAAACAATTATATATTATTAGTTTTCGTTTCCAAAATATCTTTTTTCAAAAATTTATTTACTCAAATTATTATTTCATAATATATACTTTTAGTATTAGATTTTATCAATTTATTTTGTAAAATTAAATTTGGACAATTTAAGTACTCTTTTTTTTTAAGAGTTCGAAAAACATTAAGTCTAAAATAGTCCTAATTCTAAAAATTATTGTTTTAAAAATTTTGCATAAATTTCGCTTAAACTCGAGTTTGTCTTTTCCATTTAATCATGTTTTAAATATAAACTTCGTCTTGTTTTGTATAAATTCGTAAAAACTTGAAACTTGATCATCCGTTTATGATTGAAAAATGTATTTTTTTAAAATTATTTTGGGTTGTGTGAATTATATTTTCATTTATATATGACTTATACGTTTTAGTGCATTTATATATTAATTGAATTTTTAATATTATTTAATTAAATATTAATAAACAATCTTGCTATTGCGGTGGTCAATGACCGCCCTAACTGGATCAATATCCTGGATCCGCCACTGCATTCATCTGCCAACACTAATGATGGTAACTGAAATTCTAACAATTCCCTCAACACAAACAATGGAATTTGGTTCTCGAGCATTAGAATATCTCTAAATATGGCCTTATTTGCTGCCTTGTTTCCCGCTAGTTCACTCAAATGTGACATTCTTGATGGAACATCAGTTGGTATCTTGCCTTTTCCGACAGCACAGACTTGAAGGAAATCGAACAAGAATGATGCATCCACCAACATCATCCATGCTAAAGTTTCGCCACTATAGTTTTAACAGCTTATGGTAGTAAGCATGAATCTTGAGCTCAAATTTGAGGTATTGATCAACAAGGTATTGGAGTTTTTTGTTTGGGATTTTTCTCTGATTTCTTTGTGCAGCAGAAAGTTTGTATTTCTCCATGTCGTAAAGCTCGGGACGGAAACAATGGTAAGGGCCAATGGCAACTTCTTGTGGGATATAAGAATCTGGATTACTCAGCAATAGGGATTTTGGAACACTATAGATACTAACTGGAATTTGTGTCTTCTTCAAGTTCTTCCTCTAGAGTTCGACGAATGTAAGCAACCCATCTGCTTTCGTCGATGCTGGAGCCAATTCCCAGGCCGGCACTGGAATGAAAACTCGAGATTGTGTTCATATTACGCTTAGAGAAAGATATAGTAATTTTATTCTAAGTACAGAAAATGCACTTGTTTTCTATAGCATGACGAAAATAAGGGATTGAAATGGCCATTAATAGACACGTATACATGAGGAGGTTGATAGATATTCACAATGATTCATAATGTGTGGACTTGAATAGATGGATATTCACAATGATTGATAATGCGTGGACTTAAATCTCCGTTCTTGTCATGAATGATTATATGTCCTCTCTCTCGCAGGTGAGGTTTTCCTTCCTCCCTCTCGCATGTGGGGTTTTCTTTCTGGGTTTTCCTTGGAAAATCCTAGTTTTGTCCTCTCAGTCGTTGGCCTGTAAAGGTGGTGGAATGGAGTGGGTTTGGGACCCAGGTGGGTCAGAGGCTGCGTCGCAGCCGTGCTTTTCGCTGTGAGGTTTTGTTGGATCTGTCGAGGGTTTGGGCACCCTGGATCAGTTCGGATCTCCTTCATCTGGTGAAGGTTTGGGGCCCGAGCTTGGTTTTTCCTTTTGGTTTTTGTTGTTTTCTTTTCTTGTTCAGTTGTTTTGGTGATCTTTTTCTGTTTGTTGCGGTGTGATTGGTGGTGTAAATTTGTGGTGCGTTGGTTGGTGTGGTGGTTTCATTAGGTTGCTCGTTGGTTTCTGCTCCTTTCGGGTGTCTACAGTACTGGGCAGCCCCTATCCTTGGAGGGGGCATGCGTTCTCGTGAGATCTTCTCCCAGCTAGATACCAGTTTGGTCAGCTTCCCTGCGGGTTTCTGGGGCGTGTTGGTCCCTATTTTGGCTTGGTTGTGTTGTTCGCCGGTGCTCTCTCCGGTCTCTTTGGTTCTCCTATCACCGTTTGGTGAAGTGCGTGATGAGTCTTGGTGATTTTTGGAGTTCTTGAGTCTGGAGGTTTTGGTTTCTGTTGAGGTTTTTGGAGCATTTTTCGGCTTTCCTGTCCTGGGTCAGGTGTCGTGACTTGTTGGCTCTGTGTGCTGCTCCTGTGTTGCCGATTTGCTTCATCACTGGCCATGGTTTTGGTTTGCAGTTTGGGCAATGTCGCTGGCCAAGGTTCTGGCTCCGAGTTTCATGTGTTTTGGCTGTGGGAGACATGTTTGGGGTTAGAGCTTCGATAGTGTCTTGGTTCCGCCCAGATTTGGCTTCCATTGCTTTGCTGTCTTGCCTACTGCCGATTGAGGTTGTGGCTTGTGCGTGGGTGGTTGGTTTTGGTGTTTCATTCTGTTTGTAGTCTGCTTGTTTTTTTGGTCTTTTTTGTGTTGTGTTGTGTTTGTTTTTTGTTTTGGTATCTTGCATAGGATGCACTGAATCTCTCTTAGGAGAGCATAGTGTTGGAGGTTTTTCCTCCATGTATCCATCATTTGCTGTGGTTTGAATATATGGTTCCTCGTTGAATTCAAAAAAAAAAAATCTCCGTTCTTGTCTACTTTTAAAGGAGCCAATCAGTGCTATTTGATTCATATTTGTACCAAAATTATAAATAATAAAAAAAAATAACGCGTGTTATTAAACGAACGTATGAGGACTTTTTTGATAAAGTAGACTGTATAGTATTAGTATTACAGAACATTAACGAACAAAAAAATTGTTGAAGTTTTAACAATTTTCACATCAAATAAAAATAGAAAAAAATTCTAATTTTTTTTTTTTTTTGTCCAAAATAAAATGTGTCCCACAAAAAAAAAAATAAAGGTCACGGAAAATAAGTGTATTTTCTTTTAATTAAAATGTCCTCTAGGCAATCTATGCAAATTTGACGAGAAATAGCGAAGTGTTTATATCGATTGAAAATTCTTAACTTTGCCTATTGTAACGAGAGAATGAGAATTTGTAACACTGTTGAAGAATGAAAGATATATTTGATGAGAAAATTATAAAACCAACATTATTTACGGGCATTAAATTGTCACCATGACTTTCTTTTATTCCACTGTTTTTTATTGCACTAAAAATGTCTTCAACATTTTCTCATTGTCAGATTTATGTCTTCAACTTTTTGCGTCATATTCTTATCATTAGTTAACTCATTTAGTACCTAACGACGGTTTCATCCAAAAACAATTTCATTATGATGACATAATAAGATTCATTTACCCCTCATATTTTCCAATAAGTAAAAATTCAATAAACAAATTGTGATTGAATATTTACCCTCATTTCAACAATTCAAAAGAAAAATCAAGTATCAATTACTTTTTCAAAAGATGTTCAAGTGGAGAAAGCTTTTCAAAAGAAGATAAAGAAGAAGACAAGTGGGAGACAAAAGTAATCCACTTTATTTTACTTTCTCTTTTCAAGATTCTTATTTTCAATTTCAATGTAATTTCAAGT